TGTGTGTGTGTGTGTGTGTGTGTGTGTGTGTGTGTGTGTGTGTGTGTGTGTGTGTGTACAGATCCAGATGGAGTCTTTGTTCTACAGAGCCGTGCTTCACGTCCTTCTGAGGGACCACTTCAGCTCCTATAAAAGGTTTCAGACGTTTTGTTTCCCTCTTGGTTTCAGCAGGCGTCAAGCTTTCATGGCAGTCCAAATTTGGGGTGGTTGTGTTTGCGTTGTCCTGAACCGAAAAGCGGGGTTTGTTTCTGGTTTGTTTGGATTCCAAATGAACCAAAACTTGCAAACTGGAGCCACGTGTACTCAGACGTAGACCAGGCTTTGGGGAACCATCGGGTCACGCCTAATGAGTCGTCCACCTGGGAGTTGAGATTAGTCCTCATTTGGAACAGAGGTTAAGTTAAGCGTGTTGACAGTGGGCTGTTTAAACATTCGGACTTTTACAGCTGCAGTGGTAATATGTGAACATGCTGATTTGATCACTTTGAACTGGATGCCAACATGAGAGAAAGTGCTAATAGGCTGATATTAAGCAGATGTAACGTTAAACATATTAGAGCAGAGTTCAAACAAAACAATTTGAGCCATTTCCTTCAAAAACATGCAAGAAATGTCCAAATTTAGGAAAAGCATTAGACTTAACGACTGTCCGTCACATCGAAAGCCCCCCGTTAGTTCTCCTCAGCTGGGACCTGTTGGTCATTAAGTCATTTTAGAAAGTTTTAGAAAACAAAAACGGAGACACGGCATGGGAGGGAAGGAGCRACAGGCTGTTTATTCCGCCATGCCGAAGCTGAGCAATAACACGTGTTTGGTCCGCAGCGAGAAGCGAGTCGGGAATGTTTACTCCAAGGCGAAATCCTTCGTGGACTACGTCCGTCGAGCCCTGCGCAGGCTGGAGCTGGACGACTCAAAGGTCAGGCGGAGAAAATGGCTTTCATCTTACAGCACCTGTCAGAACCAAACTGTGGGAAACGTTAAAGAAATACAGTCTGCCTACTTCTTTGCTTTTTTAACCACCATGTTTGCCAATCGCCTGATATACGTTTCTCGCAACTCTTAAAAGCCACGAGTCCTGCTCTCGTTCCACATCTCGTTCTCCTCTCGCAGCTTTCGGACAGTGAGATCCAGGCCTACAGTGATCAGTACCGAGCCCGGATAGATGAGATGCACGCCTTCAACATGGTGAGTTGCTATCTTAGAAAACACCACAGTTTCTTTGGTTTCATCTTCATCCTATACTTGGAGGGATTTCCACCACAATAATCGGTTTGGATTTAGTGTAAAATATTTTCATTCCTGCAAATTACCCCTACCCCTAAAAAAAAATAAATAAATAAATTACAGCCCTGCGGGGAATTACATGGGAGTGATTGTGCAGAGGTGGACGAAAAGCAGCCTCTGTTATTTTCTGTAGCCACTAATTATGGTGTCAGCCAGAATACAAATTTTTGTACTGGCAGAAAACACTGRATGCTTTTTTTTTTTTTAATTCATGGAATTGTCCAAAACAAGCTAGTGGGATACGATGAGGGGCTTTTAGTATGAGTGACTTTGTGCCAAATGCATGATGATTTTAACTAAAGACGAGTTGCTTTAAATAAAAGTGAACAGTTTTCTTCATGTCATCCTGTCTGTAGCTGAAGGTGAGCCTGGCTCCGTGCATTGAAGGCCTGATTCTCCTCGATCGCCTCTGCTACCTTAAAGAGCAGGTGAAATCTCTTGACATTTTTTTCAAATACAGCAAACTGTTTTGGGTAGGCCTTTGTTTCAAGTGTTACTGCAACTAGAAAAATCTATTTTTTAACATGAAAGTCCAGCCTGAATCCTGAGTGAAATTTGCTCCAGAATCTGAAACTGGTTTGTTAGGCTAAAAGAAGCAGAACACTAGCTAAAATCAGGGAGATTTTAAAGGTGGCTAGATTTTATTTTAATTTAGCCAAAAGTAGACAAAAGGCTAGTTACAAGCTAAAAGTAGCAAAAGGCTATTTACAAGCTAAAAGTAGCAATAGACTAGTTATAAGTTAAAAGTAGCAAAAGACTAGTTACAAGCTAAAAGTAGCAAAAGACTAGTTGCAAGCTAATAGTAGCATAAGACTAGTTACAAGCTAATAGTAGCAAAAGACTAGTTACAAGCTAAGAGTAGCATAAGACTAGTTACAAGCTAAAAGTAAAGGCTAGTTACAAGCTAAAAGTAGCAAAAGGCTAGTTACAAGCTAAAAGTAGCAAAAGGCTAGTTACAAGCTAAAAGTAGCAATAGACTAGTTACAAGCTAATAGTAGCATAAGACTAGTTACAAGCTAAGAGTAGCATAAGACTAGTTACAAGCTAAAAGTAGCAAAAGACAGTTACAAACTTAAAGCAGCAAAAGGCTAGATACAAGTTAAAAGTAGCAAAAGGTTAGTTACAAGTTAAAAGTAGCAAAAGGTTAGTTACAAGTTAAAAGTAGTAAAAGGTTCATTAAAAGCTGGAAATAGTGTAGGCTAGTTAAAAGCTTAAAAATAACAACGGCTAGTTAAAAGCTAAAAGTAGCAAAAGTTTTGTTAAAAGCTAAAAATTACTAAACAAAAGATGAATGTTTTGATATAATATTGGCTTAAATGGTATTCAGAAGTTGGAAGTTTAGATTACAAAAATGTACTTTATGCTGCAGAACTGTTAAGTGAAATGTACATGTATTAGCATGGTACTGTGCAGATATGTTTTGGTTTGCGTTTCATGGAACAGTCAGCTTTTATTGGATGTAAAATATGATTTGTGACAGTAATCAGGAAATGTGTTTAAAGAAATAAGAATGCAGAATTTTCTGAAAACAGCACATTTTGTAATGTTACAAGAGTGAATCCATCAAATGTCACAAGCATCCATGTTAGCTTCTATCATGAACTTCAGTCTGAACTGTTTTGCCAGCAAGATAAATAAAGAAGCCAACAAAAGCATTTAGAAGCTAGAATAGATGGGAATTTAAAAAAGGACTGACCAAAAAAATTTGCCCAAAGCTTTTCTTTTGTTTCTTTTTCAATGTAGAAACCTAAAAATATGTCAGGCAGCTAGTTGAAAGTAATTTACAGTTAAAAATCCAAACTACTAAGCATGTTTACTGGATTTTATTCAAGGATTAAAACTGAAACAAATATAAACACTCACAGAAACACAATCTGTAGATTATAGACAAAGCAACAAAATAGCTGATGGTGACTACAAAAACAGTTGTAACTCATGGCCTGAGTTTTTTTTTTATTACTATGTTTCAGCTGGAGTCATCATCATGATTGGCTCTTACAGCTCATTGATTGGAATTCGGGTTTTGCATCCCCGATGATTAAAGTGAACACAAAGAAACGTCAGCTGAAATCAGGACCGCTGCCATTAATATAGGTGTCAGCTAAATTCAAAGCAGCCTGCAGTTTATTGCCTCGTGCTTCCTGCAGCCAAGCACAACACACTCCTCTCTGCTCTGAGATCTGTGGGCTTTGAAGTTCTGATTCTGTGGGGTTGTGTGTGTCGGAGGGACCTCCTCGACGGGGTCCCGGTACGGAACACGGCAGTGCGCGGTTCACTCTCGAGGAGGAGCATGATGGATGTACAGTAATGTGATCCATATGAAGATAAGTGTGCTGAAGGTTTGAATGCACGATGGGTCAGGTGGGGTTGTTTGTGAACAAGTAAACAACCAATAAAGCACATGATTCCACCTTAGATAGATGACGTACTGAATCGCATGTTTTTATTTGTTCTATATGTGCAACAGGAAGATGTAGCGTTCTCTGCACTGGTGCAGCTGTTCGACCCTCTGCTGTCACCAAGATGCTATGCTGTCATCGGACTCAAGAATCGAAGGGAATAACGAGCTGAAGAAGTTCTTTGTGTGAGAACACATCGCTGCAGGGTTCATTGAGTAATGTGTTCTTATCTGTTCATTTTAACAGTTTGCACCGATCATATTGGGATTATTTTTCTAATTGTTTTTGAAAACATACAGTACACCTGGAGAATCTGCCTCGTCTGGTTTGCTTCATATTTCCTTTTTTTTTCTTTACATGGTTCTTAAAGGGATCCCTGATTAGTTGTAACATTAGACTTTATTTGATAAACATATATTTTAACTGTAAAATAAAGACTGTAAAAATACTATAGGCAGTTTAGATTTGTAATTTTTAAAAATATATTTTAACACGGATTGAGCCATTTTATGTACACGCAAAGCATTCTGGGTAAATGATGATGTGGATAGGTCCTCAGTGTGAGGYTGCTAGCGAGCTATATCCACCCTGAAGGTTAATCTTGGACAATATCTGATGATCGACTCTTTTAAATGAAACCAGAGAGCGTTGACAGAGAGGAGAAGGTAGAAATGACTCAGCCTGGAACTGAAAATATGGATGGAGGACAACAGAGCTGCTTCATGGAAGAAGAACCTCAGCTTAGCCTGTTAGCCTTCGCGCTAGCCCTCACTCTATATTGCCTTATATGTATTAGCTCGGCGCTAGCGCGACAAACAAGCTAAACTGAGGTCCTCCATCCATATTTTCAGTTGCAGACTGAGTTATTTTTGTGTTCCCCTCTCTGTCATGTGGATGGAGGACCTCAGTGACGAGAGGAGAATGTGTAGCGCTGAGCTAATACATATATAGGATGATAGCGTTGGTGCTAATGCTAAAGCTAACAGCTAAGCTGGGTTCTTCTTCCATGAAGCAGCTCTGTTGTCCTCCATCCATATTTTCAGTTACAGGCTGAGTCATTTCTATCTTCTTTTCTCTGTCAACGCTCTCTGGTTTCATTTAAAAGAGTCGATCATCAGATATTGTCCAAGATTAACCTTCAGGGTGGATCTAGCTCGCTAGCAGCCTCGCACTGAGGACCTATCCACGTCATCATTTACCCAGAATGCTTTGTGTGTAAATAAAATGGCCCCGTCTGTGTAAAATATTTTTTAAATTTTAGTTTAAAAATGATAAAAACTGAACATCCTATGGTATGTTTGCAGTCTTTGTCTGGTATTTTTTAACCTAGGAACTCAGAGAAACAACAACAACCCCGCCAAACATTTAAACAAKTGACAACAGAGACCAGTAAGATTTTTGTTTCACTTTGCAAAGGAGAAAATTCAGTGATACTTAACCTCGCTTGTGAGCTCAGTGAAGCACAGAGAAATTTCTGACCTCTGGGGGCGTGAACAGTCGCTTTATTCACACACGTAGGAGTGAAGTCACAATGTTACAACAAATCAGAGATCAGTTATGTGGTTTGTCATAGGCATAGGAACCAATCAAAACACTTGTTGCTGGGGTTTAATATGTGAATAATAAAAACAACACAGACTTGTTTTGTCTTACCAGCTCTGTTTTAGAGCAGTTTCTATCTGCTACACTCTGTGGACACGCCATGATGAATAATACATTTGTCACGTACCTCAAGACTTTATTTGAAACACCTTAAGAAGTTTAATAAATTCAATAAAACTCTATCAGTCTTTATTTGACAGTTAAAATATATGTTTATCAAATAAAGTCTAATGTTACAACTAATCAGGGATCCCTTTAAGAAAATTCCTGTTTTAAGGATCATTTAGGGAATTAAAGGTATTAAATAGACTTGTCACATCTGGAAATGCCGTTTGTCAAACTAGAGGAAGCAGGAAAAAAGACTGCACAAATCACCTTCATCTAATCTATTATTTTTGTTTGTTGTTTTTTTAATATAATTTACGTGAATTCATTTTGTCTTAAAGAAGCAATATAGTTTTGTTTTTGGGATTACAGAGCAGATTTTTTTTAAACAAATGCATTTGTACAGATTATTGCATCTGCATATGTGTAAATGGAAATTTAAAGACTGAACAATCACAGTGTTTTAGGTGTATATCGTACAAACAAGCTGTATTAGTTTGAGTTAAAAAACACTTGTTAGTCATCAAAAATAATAGAAATGGGCTTTGAATTAATCTGTGAGCTCACGATGATCAAACCAGGTTTTAAAGGTGCTGCACTGTGGTAGACCTATTTTCACAGAAGGTTATACTGATTTCAGCAAAGCATTGCCAAACCACAATGCATCTTTTACATTAACATAGCAAAAATATTGCATACAACTCTGACGCTTTTTAAAAACTGTTTGACATATAAAACAAAACATACAACAAAAAGGTTTGGGGGTTATTTCAGAACCTGAACTGGTCTGCTTAGTTTCCAAATGTTGAGTCCATTTTGAACGTCCGTATGTCAAAAAAGTTATTGTAAACAAAGTTATGTGCTGTTTTTAGGCCTTCACGTTGGAGCCAGTGATGGTCCTAGCAGCTGTTCATGTGAGATTTGTCTCTTGGAGCATTCGTTTTTGCAGAAATTACAACGATCTCGGACCCAATTTAGCCTAAATAAAGAATGAGGGCATTCTGTTCCTTCTCACTGTGTGACACAAAGCATTTCTTCTAATCACACCTTCCGCTGCGGCCGCAATCTGTCACTGCAGCCCCGGCCGGCTGCACATCTGCGTCCCATTCGTACGTCTGTCACGGCTGCTGTGGTGAAGCCATGACCCGGAGCTTTATTTTTGTCTGGATGAAAACGGATGCCGGAGCTCTGGGCTGCGTTTGGATCCAGCAGACAGTCTTGACTGTTTTGGTCAAAGTAGACACGGAAGACAAGGAATCAAGGATGGGGCCGAGGCTCGTTTGGGCTTTTGTCGTGGCTAAGTGAGTCAACTCCTGTCACCCCGCCTGTTGAGGCTCATATTTATGCACGTGTTTATCCAGATAAAACACTTGAAATGGCAAGACAGGAGAAATACCATGAAGTTGCTCCAATTTCCTGCCTTTGCACTTAAAAAGGGAACAGGAAGTGAGCGATCAGGATGTGTGGAATGCCCGGAGACACAAATAGTCAACATGAAGAAGGTGTTCCCAGCTTTCATGACTTTCCACTGCACAGGAGAGGAAGTGTGGCTTTGAGCTGAGTTTCTCATCGTTCCTAACAATTTAAAACTCACCTTTGAACACAGCGCAGGCCTTCATGAGCGTATTTGTCACGATGGACCGTTTGAACTGGGGCTTTTAAAACCCAGCAGCCGTCGAGGAGAAGAAAACTCCCACGGTGCTGGTTCATCAGCCTGCTCGTGGGTTAAATTCAGTATATCTGAGGTTCTTCGCTCTGAAGACTCAAAATTCATTTCACACCTTGCCACAGATGTGCAAACAGACACGTCAGAGTGCGTCAAACTGAGCTTCACACAGCTTCACACTGAGGGGAAAACTCGAGAATGGACATCAAGATGAGACTTAGACGTCACTGCTTTCAGTTATGAATATTTTCCATCTTGTCCAGTCATTTCAGATGAATCTGAAACATCTGATAATGGAAAAAACAATAGACATGTTCAGCCTGCTTTTGTTCCCTTTGTAAAAACTGGGTTTTGACTGGATTAATGGAATTCCAAAAAATATATATATATCTGCCTTTTTTTTTCTGAAACCAACATCAGAGCTCAGGTTTGTGTGCAGCTTGTTTGCCTTTTGATACTGAGAGCCGAGGTGAATTCAGCTGTGATTAAAAATTGATATGAACCTTTTTCAGTCATGTATTTTTCATGCAYACCTGGCTGCTTCATTTAATATTTATAGCTTTCTTGACCACTGCATGCTTCATTTTATTCAAGCCAAAGTTACTGAGCTTGAGCCCAAAACGGTGGCATGTTCTATTAATAATGTGGATTTGATTTGTTTTTTAATGACTGATGTTCTGTGATGTTTTTTGGCATCTATTTGTGTGTTCTGAGCTGAGCTCGGACCATCCAGCTCCTGATTGTCTGTTTCCTGCTTGATGTTTATCTGTTGGGGTGGAGATGCAGCCGTTCCGGAGTTACCAACACGGGGAAATGACCATTATTCACTTTGAGTGGTGAGGAAATCTGTTAATGAGAGCATCCGTGGAATGGCTCTATTTTTCCAAAAGGATCTCACTTGTCTTATTTTAGTCTAAGATATCCTGACTTTAAAAACAAGTCATGCATATATGCTTATGAGATCATTTTGTGCCTGATTTAATCTTCAAATGTTACTTTGCATCTCTTTTATGATTCTGTTGCTTCTCAGTCCTCATTTTAGCTTTTCTTTGCAGGCATTTTTAGTGGTTACATCTTGAATTTCTTGCATCACTTTGCCATCGTTTGTGTTGCTTTCTGCTACTTTGCATCTTGCTAATTGTTTTTAGTTTCTTACTAGGCTGAATTACATATAGTTGGATTAAAGCCAAGGTCCCTGGCCATCAGAGGTGCTGATCGGCTTACTTTTTAATGTTTGACAGAGTTTCTAGTTTTAATACAAGTATGAATTCCCATGCTTTGATTATAAGTCAAATATTGGGGGGAAAAAAACTATATTCATGATCAAAACAGTAGTTTTCATGAGAGAAGCCATGAGTTAAAAATTATATGTTTCACAGATGATTCATACTTCCTGAAACAACATAAACTAAGGAGAACACCAAACAGTAACGTTTATTTATCAGACATGACAAATATTCAGGCCTGGTGTTTGAAACCTTTTTTTTAACTGACTAACATGGTTTACCAAGGCCTTGTCATGGCAGAACTGTTACTAAAACTCTTTTAAGTTAAGGTTAATATTAGAGATGGGCAATATTTGCAAAAAAWAAAAATAAAAAATCACGATTAATCGTGGTATTATAACCGATAGCGATTAATTGGACGATTAATCCCCTGGAGACCCTGTCCTAACCACATACCATACCATACCATACCATACCATACCATACCATACCATACCATACCATACCATACCATACCATACNATACCATACCATACCATACCATACCATACCATACCATACCATACCATACCATACCATACCACTTTTATTTATAAAGCACTTTCAACAGCACAAGGCCAAACACAACAGGACATAGTTAAAAATACAGTCAAAATACAAAAAAATTAAAATTAAAATAAAAAACAACAATTTAGTGGGAAAGATTTGCTCTCCATAAAAATCTGTTCCAAATTGTGTCAAAATTACAGATTTCAGGCTGTACATCAAATTTTAAATTGTGTTAATAGATAAATAAATTACAGGACATTTTTTTAAATGTTTGTCATATTTGAAGCGGAGAGGAGCACCAGGCAGACTGACTGGAGAAATCACCAGTCAGTCTGCCTGCTGGCATTAATCGTATTAATCGTCAAGTGCCAAAAAATAATCTATTAATGTTTTTCTACAATACGATTATGCCCAACCCTTGTTAATACTGTAAACAAGTAACACAATCAGATAACACTGACAAACACAGTAGAAGTACCTAAATATAAAATTCAGGTACAAAAATACCAAACTTCTTTTCTGAACTGTCAAAGCAGGTTTCATGAGGTCCAGGTCAAGTTTAGTTCGGAATCAGGGTCGCTGCTACAAATGACTGCGTAACCTCCAGCTTCACTGCTTTGTCATTGTCTCAACCACTGCGAGTGCACGTCCCTTCTCCAACCATCTGTTTTTCTTTTTCCACTGCTCTGCGCAGCATTTATCCTGCTGGAGCCCCGACTGCGGGGACAGGCACGGCTCCAGCTGGTAGTCAGCAGGACCCGGCTGTGCGGTTCCAAAGCCCAGGCCCATATGCTAACCATAGGGTGAGGTGCAGCGGTTCATCCATCACACTCACCACTCCCTCTGCTCAGCCTCGCCGTGGAGCCAGCTGGGGGCTGGTGGAGCTAAATTAATCAATATTTTTAAAATCAGGATAAGAATGTGATAATGTGAGGCCTGTAGCAGGATGCTCGGGCTTCTCTGGATTTAATTGAAATTGATTGTGAGGATAAATAGTGCCTGTTGCTATCATAAATTAATATCTACTGTAGGTAACTTGTTGATTGACATATTTATCCTCTTTATACTTAGTATCACCCCAATTACTTAGCTACATTTTTCTGTGGGAGGAGCTGAGACTGATCCCCAACACATAATCTGAGCACAAGTGATAGAACAAAGTCTTTGTTTAAAAAAAAAAAAAAAAACAATTATTATTTTAAAGTAAGTTGGTCGGTCTGTTAGCAAAATGACTCATGAACCCCCTGGATGGATTTTAAAGAAACATTCAGGAAGTAGGCTAATTGGATGTACCTTTATAACTGATTAACTTTTGTGCCCAGGTTAGCCAACACAAAAAAATATTCAGTTTAACAGATTTTGAGCTAAATATTAGTATTTATAACTTGTGAGAGAGTTTAAACTACCCAGGTTCGAATTTGACCCAGCCAGTATTTGTTTTGTTCTCAACCAAGCAGTTTAACAATTTACAGACTGGTTTTGTGCCACCTGGGTTTTTCAACCCTATTCCTTTACAATTCATAAACATTTTGTGTAAACATCCTATTATAATAATAATAATAATAATAATAATAATAATAATAATAATAATAAAAAAATTTGGATATGGGCGGGGTAAACTGTTACCATGGCAGCCGTAAATGATTCTCAGCCCATGAGAAGTGTAGAAAACCACAGCTCTGTACTTCACATCTTTCTCCTAGAGGAGAGTCAGTGCGCATGCGCAGAGCTGCTGAAAAGCCACAGTGAGAAACCACGGCCGTGAGATGCGCGCGCTGAGGACGCCGCAGCACAGCAATGCCTCCAGCCTCGCCTCCCCTCCAGCAGCTCTGACCGGTCTCCCACCGCAATGGGTTAGAGGGGGACATGGAGGCAAACTTTGACACGCCGACACCGCTGGGAACGGCCGGAGAGCTGAGCTGCCGCGCGCACAACAACAACAACAACAGAGAGAATTGAGAGCGATTAAAGAAAGGAACCTCTTTCGTTTTCTGCCTGTTTCCTCTGCTGCTTTGGCTTTGAGAGATGATCACGGAGCTGCTGTGCACCGCCGTGGCTGTGGGTCTCTATCTGAACACGCTGGACGCAGATTTCTGCTACGATGACAGGTAGGTCCCCCCCTTCACTCCCAACCCTCCTCAGCTGCTGCCAGCATCCCAGTCATCCTCCTTTTTTAGCACAGAAATGTTTCCCCCTTTTCCCTCACACGTGCTTCTGTCAATAAAATGTCAAACAGAGGTAGCCTACAAAGAGATGTGAATCATTTTGTAAATGTACTGTTTATCTGCTCTTAAGTCCGATATTTTTTGTCTATAGTTCTAAGGAATCCCCACAGAGATTTAGAGATCATTCCCTGCAGTTCAAAGCAGAAGTGAGTTTCAACATATGAACTCTGACTTTCCATCTGCTTCACAGGAAGTGATGCTCTTTGTGTTGATGATGCATTCATGTTCTAACAATGCCTCAGACCCTGGGGAACACAGCTCATTTAAATCAGGAGGTAAACAGCTGCCAAAACATTTCAATATTTTCTTGCTTTAGGGCGTAAAAGTGGGAAAATATAATTAAAATATTTATCACAATATCATCACTTCTTTATTTTTCCAGTCATCTATTTTATCTATAAAATGCAACCCCCCCTGTCAGCTCTATTCACATTTGTCAAAAATGATTCAGTTCACCGTCTAAGCATAGATCAAATCAGACAATCTGAGACAGCAGATTACTAAAACAGTTTTTAAAAGCCAGAAAGGTTGTGAACAGTGGATTCAAACTGTTCTGTATCTCTATAAAGAATACAGAAGCACATAATTTAGTGTTGGATTTAAGGGGTGAGTTTAGTAATCTGAAACACTCATTCAAAGCTGGAGGTTCTTCAATGACTTAAAAGGCAGAACATGAGGATAGAAGGGTTTTAGTATGTCAAAACTGATTTGTCTTCCAAAAATAAAAGGTTCCGTCAAAGGGGGTGAAATGTTGTAGATGTGTGTACCGGTATTTACATGAACTGACAGTGAACCTCTCTATTGTCTTTCACCCCTCTGTCGGAGGAAGTTCTCTGGTTAGCTTCTGTAGACACCCCTTAAAGGTCAAGCTTACATTTGAAATCCAACGGTGACCCCGCTGAGGCAGTGTGAAGCTGACGAGCAAAGAGGATAAGTGATGGTTTTAGGGAGCACTGTACACTGTCTCTAGTTACACCCCACCTCAGCAAGTATTCCAGTAAAATGCCCAGAGGTTGCGCATCCATCAGCATCATCGGTACGTCTTGGCCAAGGTTGTCAAAAAAAAAAAAAGCCAGTTGGTGACAGATTACCTGGGGGCGAAGCCCTGCCCGATTTAGACGGCACCCAAGCTTTAGTCGAAAGTTCAGAATCCGCCAACGCTGAGTATCTATCAAAGTCACCATGGTAATTTACACTCTAGGGGACAGACACCACTGTTCTGGTCCAGTGCTCTCAGATGAAGGAGGCTGAATAGCAATCAAAGGTCGGACCTGCCGTGGTYGTTTATCAAACAGTGTCCTCTCTTTGGGTCAAGAGTGGCGTGCTCCCTGTCCCTTCCCTCGGGGCTTTGAGGAGAGTTATGAGCAAAAGGTTAACACAAGAGACAGATTGAAGTGGGAAAGAGTTCAACTAATCATTCCTCTCTGGAGTTGTCTAAAACGAATGACTGGATTGTGGACCAACTTGTTTTTCTACATGTTCGTCCTCTTACAGTAAGATAGAAGCTATCTTATCTGACCTTTCACCGCCGTAATTAAATTCTTTTTTTGCGTGTCATGAGCCTCCCAGACAAGAGCAGATAAATCTTTAAGCAGGCGGTTGAAGTTGTGGGGATGCTCTGGCTGCCTTCTGCTTATTCAATCATGTCAAGTGTTTTTCCTGGGCACTGCTGTGGGCTTGGCCAAGCGCCCCCGTTGGCCAGCCGTAATCCCAATGAAAAGCCTCTGCGTGTGAAATGACTACGTTTTACGGGAGCTGGGAGACGACTTGGGCCAAGCCGTTTTTTTGATCCGAGAGAAGAAATCAAGACACGGTCTGCTGGTTTATGGCTGRGCTTTTATTGGGTTTAGCCACATCTGTAGGCWGACTTTCCCCYCCTTTAAATCCATTATTCACAGCACTGGTGTATTTGGTTGATTGTTTGCTTTCAAGTTTGTGGTTTATTGGAAAGTCTGTGACCTTTAAACCCTCCTTTGAATACCCTTAAGTGAGGCTTTTGACAGGTTAACAAATGAGGCTCTCAGTGACATCTTGGTGCCATTGGTTTTTTTATGATCACCTTTTGGCTAATGAACATAGTCGATAAGTGGGTCCCACAATTTGGAAAACAAAGAAAAGCACGAAAAGGAGATGAAATGCATGCATCCCATAAGTGGCTTTCAGTATGCACAGTTGTGACTCTAGAAACATCTGTGACCCCCACTGACATCACAGCCGCAGTCACTGCTCAACTCAGAAACACATTATGGCTCCCTGGGGGATTTAATAAAAATATCTTCTTCTCTTTGTCTCAGGCGAGCAAAACTATTTCATGTCTGGGTTTGGACCGCTTTGATGATGATTAGATTTCACTTACTGCCGTATGAGGTCCCCATTTTAATCACCGAAAACTAAGTATTAAAACAATGTAATGCGGCACACGCAAAACCCAGACATGTCAAGAGTGGTGAGAGAAATGGCAGAAACCTAAGGGATCACACTGTTGGCTGGTTGCAACATCTGTTCCCCCTTTTTCCGCTTTCTGTTTGAGGTTGACCAATAAATGCATCAAAGAGGTAACAAGAGGTGCCCTTTCATTGTAGTTCAAACCACAGGGCTTTCACTTGGAGTTTTAATGTATTTCCGTTTTGCTTGGTAATTGTGCACACATTGCTTAATACCCAGAAATATCAACAAATGTAAAGATCATCGCTGTGTATTGGAGCAAAAACACAGTGAAATCTGAGAAAACCTTACTTGGCTTGCCTCCTATATAACTTTCAGTAGACTCACAAACAATATGTGGCAGCTTTATGAATCCTGTATGCTTAGTTAGGAGGATGGACTTTTTCAGAAATGCTCCCAGCCAACAGCTGTGAAGATAAGAGCAGCAATAAATTTGACTGCTTTGAAGCATGCAGGAAGTTTCTGTTTTTTTGCTATTGACCACTAATTTGCTTGGTCTCATTTGCAACTCCCAATTAAACTCAAATGTTACAACTTTTGAATGTCAAACTTGTTTTGTCGATTCCTTTCCTTGTTTTCGTTTTATGACAGCATTTAAGCGCTAGTTAGGCAGTTTAGGGCAAATCACATTTCCAAGTGTTACCATTATAACTATTTTGAGTGTCTACTGTGACCATAATTTGAAGTCACAAGGGGTAAAAGTAAAAAAACAAACAAACCCTGTTTAGAAGCCAATGCAAACTAGATATGGCAATTTTGGCAATTGTAAAATTTTTGTTGAATGTAGTGAAATATGTTAAAAATCAAAAAAGTTTTAGGGACAGTTTTACCACTTTTTCCTGCTATCACAAAAAGAACTATAAACCCTAACACATATATTGTCAGACATCAGAGTTTCTGAGTTTCATGTCAGAAAAATCACCTGGGTCACCCTTTAAAGTCAAATTTTGTTTCAAAAGGTCAGAGATTACTAACCAACACTGATGTCAACATCCAAAATGGCTGTTTTTCACTTGTAAAGGTGTAATAGCTGCAGGAACAATCTTTTTATCTTATCTTTTTGTCCCTTTGCATTCACACACACGTGTCTCATCCTTTAGTGAACATGTTACTATAGTGTTTGAATGTAGAGAAATACATTGTTATTGCCTTGTATTGCAGAGAGTTAGCCTGGTCCCTGAGCACAGCTATTAGCAAAACCTAATGGTTGACTAAGTTGCAACTCAAACACTGTAAAGTTGGGTTTGATGTTGTTCCCAGAACTGAATTCAGAGGGACACAGCATGAATGATACAAACAAGGGGTATAATGAGATCCCCCTTTGATGAGAAAAGAGAAATGACCCATTAAAACATCCAAGAATTGAGGACTAAAAAGTAACAAAATTGCGGAATTTAAATACATTCCACCTCAGCTTATCTTCAGAACATATGTTTAAAATTGTACCAATGCCTTTCATCCATTTCCCCATTCCTTTTACCCCCGTTTTACCTGTCTTCTGTGGAATTTGAAACAGTTTTGGCAATCAGCAGGTTACGCTCTGGACTGATTGAAAGTTTATCACAAGGCGAGACACTACAGTTCAAAAGTTTACATTTGCTCATTGTTCCTCATAATTTAGAGACCAGTAAAGKTTGATGCAGTTGTGCTAAAAAAGATAAAATTCCAACAAAAAAATTATAGATGTCACCTCCAAATCTGATTTTCCGATAACAGCTTGTGTCATAATCTTTCTGAGTTGGCGCCCCGTGTGCTCACTGATCACTTTCATCCTACTGTAGTAAACTCTGCCAGGACTCCCACTGCCTCYAGTGGAACAATTATCTAAAACACGTGCCTCAGTTGTGTCGAGGCTGTTYGACTTCCACTGTATGAACGGCACAGATAAATATTGAAGGGAAAAAAGTAGGTTAATGAAAATTCCTTGGAAAAAGAAAAGTTTTTTTTGGGGAGGGGGGGATAATTATGTTCACAGTAAAATTGAGGTAAAGCAGCAAGTTAGGAGGATTCTAAGCGCTCTCGGCATTATAGTTTGCCTGAAGGCAGCATTTAAGCGAGCTGTGTGGTTTAATGAGAAAACTGTTGATGAAACGTAACTCGAGAATGTTTCGAACCAAGAAGCTTTTTACCAGATTAGTGTAAATAAAAAGACTGTGTGTCTTTGAGGGGAAAGACGGAGACTTGATGAAAAGTGTGGTTTGGTGGTGAAAAAAAAGCTGCTCTGGTGATGTGTCATCCTTCATATGGTCTATCCCGCTGCAGTTAAGCATTAACATATGTTTTCACTGAAGTGCTGCTATTGATGTCTTGTTTTTGCCTTTCAAGCTTCTTTACATTTGGGGCGGTGGGCTTAACTACCAGTGAAACAAAAAAAAAAAGACGCAAATAAATAGGCTTATCTTGATTAGCAGCAGATTTGGCCAGTCTAAAAACTTCAT